CTTTTGGGTGTAGAAATCTCCTTTTTTTTTAATCAATAACTCTTGGCATTGTTTTCTGTATTCAGCCTAGTTGTTTTGGCAAAATACCATCTGCATGTGTAAGCTCAATCCCTTCATTGAGGTGTCCTTTTCCTTTTGCAATATGATTTATTGAGATACTAAACATTTGAAGTGGACGTGATTGTTCTTGAGGTGGTTGGTCAAAAGAAAATGATAATTATATAGCGTGTAATAAGTATCATGAGGTAGATTGCTTTGTCTTAAAATTGAAGTATCATGAGATTTCTATAGTTGTTAGAGTAGACGTTTGTGACAGAAAGTTGATTCATGCGTCTCATTGGGATAATATAATGGTTGCTCAATGGAGGTCACTTGTTCACTTAGGCTACTATAGATTTGTTTTTTCACTTGGATCTAAACTTTAATACCAGAAATACATCAACATTGATTATCATAAATTCGCATAAAAATTAAATTTGCTATAGTCAAATCATCTCCCTCAAGTATCAGAGACAGCTAGAGTGGGTTGAATATATGGTTATGTATTTAATTTCTATTTACATATTTAATTTTTTAAATTTTCTATCCATCTGAGAATTGCTATATAGTAGCTTCTTACTGGCAACATTGGTGTCTCTTCTTGTTTCTGAATTTCACAATACTATACACTACTAACTAGGTCTAACTTCTATCTTTGTGAAATCTAAACCTTTATCACACTCAAGTGTGATCTCATCCTGTGATAATAATTGATCTTTTGCTTCTATCAAATTTGGTTTTAAACAGTGGTTTGTCAAAATGTCAGCTTAACATAAAAATATATAAACTTCCCCTCCCCCTGGCCACAAAGAATCAACTTTATCCGAGGTCAGTAGGATCCAAATGGGTTGAGGTGTGAATTATCAACTAGGCAAGCATCCCATCAATGAATAGCTGCTTTTATAGTTGGTATCATGTGAAGATCTAGAGCATCCACAAGTTTTGTAATTATATTTTGTGGTGCTAGCTCAGGTTCTGCTTGTTCCCCTGTGAGTTACATCTATATACTATGATGTAAGAAGCATACAGCATAATCACAGTTACTATAGACCATAAATGTTCTTTGTAAAATTTCTTGTCTAGTCGCTGTCCATCTGTAGGTCAAGGGTTGCTCATTGAGTACTTGATTAGAAGCCTGAAGAACTATCAAAGCACCACGGTTTTAGGAGTATTAGAAGTTTCAGAGCCAGTGGTTTTGCTCAAAGATCCCAAATAATGAGATAAATTATGCAAGACCATAGAAGTTATCCTTGCTATATGAACTATTCATATGCTGATGTACCCGTGTTGAATGTTATGACATTTATGTGGGTACTTTTGCAGATCCTTCAAGTACCCTAAAAACTTGCTAAAACTTGAACATACCCGTACCAAATTCTTAGCCATAAAAAGAAACAGCATCATAACTATTTATCTGCAAATATATGAAAATGTGGCATGCATAAGTTGGTTAAGTTTGATCAGTTTAATGCTGTAAAAAGCTTAATTCTGGTTGCTCTTGCTGTCAAATATGCTTGTGTACAACACCTTGATATTGGCCGTCCTTTTCGGTTTGGGTTTAGCTTCTTGGGTACTTCATCATGGTCTGGTTGCTCTTTATTGCCTGAAAAACTAACACTTACTGTGCTCATGTCAAACTCTTACCTATTGCTATGTAAATTTAGTAGAAGATGATCCTAAAGGTCTTCTAGCTAGGTTTGTTTATGTAAAGCTGAATTCACTTTTAAGTTATTTATGCTTCTATCTGTTCTACTTTTAACGTAGACAAGACATTTGATTTTCCGGTTATGCCTTCTATACTTTATGATATAGATACCCACGACAAGAGCTAAATCCCCCAAGCTTGGCCGGAAAAAGAGCTCCCCCACCAGAGAGGTGAACGACACTGCTATACACACAAGTAGATTGAGCTTGGATGAAAATGCAACTCAAAATCCCTCCAAAGTACATTCTCCTGACATTGTTAAGAAGCCCACAAGGAAGTCTCTACCGAAGCTGCCATCTCAAAAAGTCAACTTATCAATTAATACAAAAAAGCCCTCCATCAAAACTAGCATATCCAAGGAAACAAATGAAGCTGCAGCCAACGACATGAGTGAAGTTGCTTCTCAACCGAACAACGTACTTGAGCATACAAATGAAATTGAAGCTACATCGGCTGTGGAAACAAGCCAGAGTAAGACTGTTGTTGAAGCTCAAGCTGAGACTGATGTGGTGCAGCAACTCATTGCAGTGGAGTAGTAAAAGCAAGCACTGAAGCTGTAACACATATACATGAAGCACCTTTCAGTTCCTCTTTGCCTAAAATATTGAAAAGGTACGAATAAGACTTGGTTCGTTTGACAAAGGAAGGAATGGAAGATTTTATACCAAGCAATGATGTTTTGTTCATAGCGGCAAGGTTGGTTTGTCTTGTGTCGTTTTTTTTCTTTCAAGATTTGCTGGTTTGGTCATTTAGAAAACAGGTAGCTTGCAGCATTTTAAGGTTGCTCTTTGCACCTTTTCTTTGGGTTAATGATGAGTTAGATGGCTTCCTGTCACCTGATGTTGGGTAATCGATTTTTTTTGGAGAATTGTCTTAAAGCAAGTTCAAGTCTTGAACTAGTTGAAAATTTGGCACTCATTGGGCTTGTACTGGCTGTTTGAACTGTTCTCTTTGGACATCATGGTTTTTGTTTGTTAATTGATATGTATTTATAAATTTGCATATACTTTTTACGTGATTCTCTTTGCCATGCACTTTGTTTTTTCAGTTCATTTGCTAGAAACCATATTTCTTACAACTACATGTACTATAAAGATTACTCATAATGGCATTCTGATGTTAATTAGTTGGTACAATTTTCTCTAAGTTTTGTGAAATTAGGAGTCAAAAATCATGTTCCTCTCACCCCCCTAAAAAAGTATGATGACATCTACCAATGCAAGTGGATACCATGTTAGTACGTTTACTTTAGGTTTAGTACTTATTTAGAACAAAGATAGACTTAAATGGAGCAACATGAACAATGTAGATTCATAGAATTGATCTAAACTTGCTTGTAATTAAGGTGTATCTTTTTTTTGGGGGGTCACTTATGTGAGCAATCAGATGAATAAGAAGTATGAAAGTCAATCTTGTGCAAGCCAAGGGCAAATTTATAGCCACCAACATGTGGATCTACCAACCCTCTTGGTTTAAACCATTTTCAGATCTGTGGATATGTCTTGATTCAATGTTGGTTGGCAAATTTCAAAACTATGGGCTGTTCTCAAAGTAATAATATCTCAACCCAAGAAGTCCTTTTCTTTAATTGTTTTTCAATACATAGTAATCAAATGGCTTTATCACTTCATTAGTGGTAACCTTTTCAATGGAGACCACAATTGTGGATCTCCAATCAGCTGTTGAACAAATGATCTAAGCCAACGGAGACTAGGTAAACTGTCCCCTTTAAAACTAATAATTAAGTTGATTTATCAAAATCTTATCTTTTAGAGGGATTGGTTTATATAATGATGGGACCTTAATAAAAATTGCAAGTTGTAATATTTTCTTTTGGAGATATTACCAGCCTGCTGAAAGAATCAAAATCTGAATTGAAGTTGTACTGCAATCAACAATCACATTGGAGCAGAAGTAATATTATCAAATATTTTGATTGAGTTAAGTATTGAGAAAATTGATTGCTTATATTCAAAGGAGGATGAAATGTCAATGAGGTGGGTAAAAATTACGGGAGATCAGAGATCAAATTCTAGTAGACAAGAAAGTAAAAAGCGCAGCCCGGGCGTACCCAAGGGGTGTGATGTAGGCTGCTTCAACGGCTCGAACCCGTGGCCTATAGGTCATACGGAGATAACTTTACCATTGCTCCAAGCTCCCCTTCGGTAGAGACAAGAAAGTATTAGGTGATTTCTTTCTTTTTGCCTAAACCTTGGTGATCAGAATTATTTGGTATTTATATTGGTTGAATATATTAGATATTTGATGAAATAATCGAGGTGTGTGCAAGTTTTTTTCCTTTAATAGAGGATGAAATAGAAAGAAAAGTATACGAGCAATTCACATGGGAGGTAAGGTATGAAAAAGACAAGGTCAAGTCAGGAATCCGAAACAGTGAACAACTCAGTAAGACATAACCAAGCATGCAAGACAAGAATAGTAAACACACACACACACACACAAAAAAAAAAAAAAAAAAAAAAAAAAAAAAAAAAAAAGAGAGAAGTGATTGTCACAAAATATGTCTTTGCTAGATATTTTTGACAAAGTGAAGAAATAGTGAGAGGGAAAACTTATCATACCCTTTTTCATTTTAGTTAGAATTTTTTTTTTTTATTATTTTTTTTGGTTGAAAGATATTATGGCAATTTTATACATTATTCAATCATTCTTGATTTTCTACAAAAAAGTTGTAAAATTTTTGACTACTTTACACACAATGTAATGATACCTTTATATCTAGTAATAAAAGAAATAAAATCCAGAAGATTATACAGATAATCAACTACTAAATGAGAAAATTTTACATAGAGTAAGAAATTTAGAAAAGAGTAAGAAGATAAGTCACCAAAAATGTAAGTGAAGTCAACATTGGCAAATGTTAAATTTGGAGATATCAAGTTTGTAATTGTTTTTTAATTATCGATACCTCCTACCAAGCATAGATATCTAATGATTCTACCTTCAAGGCTTAGAGATATAAAACTGAAATCACCTAGTGTATTTTCTCTGCTTAGATTTGAATCCTTGTCTGGCATTATTTTTAACTACTCCATTGACTGTTAGGACACACGAAATATTCTCCCATCTGCCTAATAAGAAAGAAATACACTCTCTACAGCATAATTATCCAAGGGTCAAAGTAATAGGTTAAGACTCATCTTGCCTAGAATAAGCTACATGTTAATCTTAAGTCTTAACCAGATTCAAACCAAAAGTGTATTGAACTTAAACAACAAACTGGAAGGTTATAACATAAGAGTAACAGGTGAGAGGGAGATTTTCTATTCAACATTGCATCTTTTATGTTGTTTATATGTACAAGAAAGTTACAATGTTAGAGACAACAAAGAGAATAACTATGAACTAACAAAGAAACAGATCAAGAAGCAGGGATAGGAGGTGAGGGGAAACTATCTAATCCTTTAAATAAATTGACTGATGATTTATTCATAGTAGTAGCCTTATTTAACATTTGCTCATCCTCCTCATCAACATCAACTTCTTCTTCACCATCATCCCCAGCGTTCCAAAGAAACCGAGCACATGAAGCAAGAACATAACTGAAAAAGAATAAAATTTCAGCATTGGTTTAATATATCAACAACAACAAACCAGTGCAATCCCACAAAGTGGGGTCTGAGAATGGTAGTGTGTACGCAGACCTTATTGTGAAGTAGAGAGGCCAATTGTTAATATATCCAAAGGCAAAAATCAAGTCTTTGCTAACATGGCACATGGAATTCAGAATCAATTTTTCACCCAAATTAACAGAGTTTCTGCAGTAAGCAGCAATCAAGTGTTCATAAGAAACCAGACACTTATTAACATAGGAAGAGCAAATTCAAGTGTAGCTATTGATGATATAATCATTGCAGAAGTAAAATTCCTTTCATCTTTTAACACTTTTTAATCAAACAAAAAGGGATCAAATACTTCAACAAGGCGGAAGAGACCATTTCACTGACTCACTTAAGGAACTCTTAACAAAAAGAGATTTCCTTTTGTAATCTAAAAGCTATAATGAAATGCATAATTTCATTTCAAGAAAAAGGTGAAATCTTCATATAGATAAAAATTATCTTCCAAGAATTAACAACCTATGTTGCTTGGACTCTCCAAAAATGTTGTTAGGTGCGTGTCGGATCCTCCAAAAGTAGTGCATTCTAGGAGGATCTGACATGGGTGCGGCAATATTTTGGAGAGTCCGCACAACATAGGTAACAACAGCAAACTGAAACACTATCCAGCAACATCTAAAATGATATTAACAACTATATTTGATTGAAAAACATGGATTAAAAGATTACCAATCATCAGGAGAAGCCTTCAGAGCTTGATTATAGTAGCATTCAGCCCTATCAGCATCTTTATGAGCATCCCATACCAAATCCCCATATAGTGAAAATATATCCCCTTCATTTGCATTTGCCAATATTGCTCTTCCACAATACTCTTCTGCTCTTACAACATCTCCTTTCACCTTTACACACAATATTATTCAAAATTATATACTCTAATTTCATGTGCATCAATAAAATGAAAGCCTTTTTATTTTCATCTGAAATAAAAGTTTGTTACCTCTTTCAAGAACTTGGCATAGTTTCCTAGAAAAAGAGGATTATTAGGATCACACTTAATCATCTCCTGATAATACTCCTCAATACTATCATGATCAGAATCTGGGCACTCATCACTTCCATCTCCACCGCCGCCGCCAGAAATCCGGCCACCGTCACCGCCACTGCCACCACCATTTTCTAAAACAGCAAATTCTTGATCCAACTCTTCCATTTTAGACACCAATGACATATTACTAATACCAAAACTCAAACTGGTAACATTTTCTTGATTTTCCGAGCAGTTTGAAGCAAACTGAGGATACCCTTTTGGAGAAGGCCTAACCTTGGCCTTGTACAATTCTTTAAAATTGTGGTCTGATGCAGTTTTTGAGATGTTCTTGGTGATGGGATCAAGATTTGAGGAGATAGAGATTGAAGCACTTATGGTTCTGATAATTTGTTCTGGAGATGGATCTATAACCCATGATTTCAAGATTGGTGCAGAGGCATTTCTCAGAAGCATTTTTTTTCCCTTTCTAAATACAGAACTTTTGAGAGTACAGGTTTGGAGAGACAATTTGTTTGTCTTTGTACAACACTAAGAAAGGAGACAAAGAAACACCATATTGTATAAGCGTGGGATTGAAAAAAAAAATACTAGTGGGGAGCAGAAAGAAAGTGTGGGAGGTGCGGGGGCGAGATGAAAATAAGAAAAAATTATTGAGGGTTTTAGAGTAATTATATTTTGGGGGAAATGGATTTCTCATTTTGTATTTTCCTTAGGTGTTAAAAAGCATAGACAAATAATAAATGATGATTAGGAATTTAAGAGGAGTGTTTGTGCATTTCTTGATTTATTCAAATTTATTTTTAGTTAGCGTTTGGATATAGATTTGGTTGAAATTTGAAAAAAATAAATTTTTGAAAATGGTCTGAAAATGATTTTTGAAAGTTGAAATTGTGTTTGGACATGTATTTTATTTGAAATTTTATTGAAGTTTTGTTAGTAGAAAACTTCAAAAACTACTCTAGAGTTGTTTTGGAACTTGAAAATTTTATTTTCAAAATTTGCCAAAAATGGTTAAAATTTATAAACAACCAGATATTTGAAAACAAAATTTGAAAAATAACTCCCAAATTTTATGGCCAAATGAACGGAAAATGGTCAAAATTGTCCTCGAACTATCGAAAATAGCTCAAATATACCCCCGTTTGATTTTGGTACCAAATTTGTCCACGCTGTCTAAAAATTGGACCATTATTGCCCTAAAAACTAACGACTGCCACATCAGCTTTTGGACATACTTAAATATTACGGAAAAAAGGTCAAAATTGTCCTCAAATTATCGAAAATAGCTCAATTATATCCTCCGTTTTGTGTTTGGTACCAAATATGTCATTGACGTCTAAAAATTGGACCATTACTGCCCTAAAAACTAACGGTCGTCACATAAGCTCATGTGAACAACAAAGGTCTATCTCCAACAGACGGTCCTCCATCTTGACAAAAGCCCCCACTGATAAAATTTCTTTCTCCATTTTCTGCGAGGGGTTGCTGCATTTCTCATGAAGGCGCAGTGAAGCACTTCAGGTGGTCTGCTAGCTAGGCCAGTGAGAAAGGGAAGGATTAGGTGGTGTCTAAAAAATGTATCTTTTTATGAGGTTTTAGGTCTAGGTCTTATTTGCGGTCGGTCTTCTTTTCTTTTCTGTTGATGAAGGCTGGAAGTGGAAGGGTATAGTATTTTAGAGGATGGTTTCATTCTAATAGTTTTCGAGTTTTTTGTGAGAGTTGTTTTTAAAAGGATATATCTCTACAACTAATTTGTGACCTTTTTGAGATATGAGCTTGGATAGCTAGCCATAAGAGTACTGCAATATACATCTTTTGTTGTTCTCCATCATTTTTGTGATAAGATTTATGATTTTAAGTGATAAAAGTTGGTATTTTATTTCTTGTATAGTATATTGATTTTTTTTTTTTTTTTATAGATTTGTGAATCTTAATAATAGCCCAACTAAATTTCTCATAATAAGATTGGTGTAGCTTTAATTATTTGGAAGGAGTAACACCTCGATGAATCAACGAATGAAAATGGAGAAAGAAATTTTATCCGTGGGGGCTTTTGTCAAGATGGAGGACCGTCTGTTGGAGATAGACTTTTGTTGTTCATATGAGCTTATGTGACGGCCGTTAGTTTTTAGGGTAGTAATGGTCCAATTTTTAGACGTCAAGGACATATTTGGTACCAAACATAAAACGGAGGATATAATTGAGTTATTTTTGATAGTTTGAGGGCAATTTTGACCCTTTTCCCATAATATTTAAGTATGTCCAAAAGCTGATGTGGCAGCCGGTAGTTTTTAGGGTAATAATGGTCCAATTTTTAGACGGCGAGGACAAATTTGGTACCAAAAACAAACGGATGGTGTATTTTAATTATTTTCGATAGTTCGAAGATAATTTTGACCCTTTTCCGTGAAATGAAAGCTAATAGTATCTGCAAAGTTGGGAAAATCCAAAAGTTTTGTCTATAAAAGGGCATTCTGATTTTTGACAAGACAATAAAAAATATCTTTCCTGTTTCTTTTTTCTAAAGGGCATTTCCTGTTTCCTGTTAATGGGTTGGAAGGTAAATTAGAAACCTTTTAAGTGAAATCAGTATAATTATTAAGGGTCCTATTTTCTCCAGTTCTCTCAAGTTAAGCATTATTAAAGCCTTAGGGTCGTTTGGTAGGGTGTATAAGAATAGTGCAGAATACAGTATATTAGTAATACAGGGATTAGTAATGCATGGGTTAGTAATGCAAGCATTAGTTATGCAGATATTATTTCTTATAAACTGTTTGGTGTGGTGTATTAAAAATTATAATGCATTGTATAATTTTTAAGAAAAATAGTTGTTTATAAAATTGCCCTCCATATTCTCTAGCTTTAAGGGACTTTAAAGACAATTTTATCTTTAACCATACTAATGCATGCATTAATAGTCTTGGTATTACTAATGTCATGGTTTTCTATGCATTACTTATACATAGGCTAATACCAAGTATGATGTATAACTAATGCAAGTATTAGTTATACATAGGTTGAAAAAATATACGAAACAAGGTATTAGTAATGCACAAAGCTAATGCTTGCATTATTTTTTCTAATACCTCCTACCAAATGACCCCTTAATGTAAATCCGTTTAGCCTAGAAAAGCTCCTTAATAAGTATTTAATGCCTAAGAGCCCGTTTGAATTAGCTGATTGTAAACAATTGAAAAGTTTGAAGTGCTTAAAAGTATTTTTAAGTGCTGAAACTGATTTTCTAAACAAGCATTTACGTGTTTGGATAGACGTGCTGAAACTGATAATAAACAGTTGTTGTGTTTGGTAGAAAAAAGCTGATAAGTAACTCTTTTATTAAAATGACTAAAATATCCTAAAAAACTTTACAAAAGATTATAAATTAAAAATTTTTTTTGTAAAGAAAATGACGAACAAAGATGGAATGAAAAGAAAGTTAGAAAATTTATTTTGGGAAAAATATTTTGTGAATTAGAAAATATTATTAAGGATAAATTAGTAAAAGCCTTGGTCAAACTAAAAGTGCTTATAAGCTAAAAAATCATAAGTTGGGGGTGACCGACTTATGACTTATGACTGATTTTAGCTTATAAGCACTTTGGATATTTACCAAATGCGTAGATAAACCAAAAAGTACGTATAAGCCAGTTTGACTAGCTCATAATCTTAGCCAAACACCCTCTAAGTTCGGAGTCCCATTTTGTTAAGTTACTAGTTTCTCTAATTAAATAATTCACTGTTTCTTCAATATACTTTTCTCTAAAATTTTCTCCTTAATAGTGACAATGTTTTCCTCATTGTCTCTGTACATATGAACTGTTGGGTTTTTTATTAGATAAAAAAGTGTGAATGGGAAATGGAGGGAAAAGATTAGGAGGGAAACAAAAAGTTTGAAATAGTTTCCTTTACTAATGCACTTTATCTCTCGTCGGAAAAAGGAAAGAAAATCTTTGTGCTTATATAGAGAAGCACATTTTCTAGCTTTTAAAGAGTTAAGAAGAACTGGTGCCTCGCGCCGTCGCCGTTATCGTTCGGCTCGGATTCGGACATTACAAAAACACGGGTGAATTGCGGAGGTTAAAATTTCAATTTGCTAACCTCTGCTATTTGCTGTCACGACGGTTGGGCAGACCCCGTAGTAAGCATCACCACTATTGATTTGCTGCAGATAAATACAGGGGTTTCCAGAACCGTCGTGCCAGCAAATTATGCAAATTGCAGTTTGAACCTCCGCAATCTGATGCACGAAAATAGTTTTTTATTTTTTAAATTTAACTTTTTTTTTGATTGTAGAGGTTGTAAACCCCCGCAATTTCTTATGTGTACACTATCAAATATTTGTTCCTATTTCTTTTTGGGGTTTTTAACCCCATCTATTTTTAAATATATTATAGAATTGATATTTTATCATCAATATGCCATATATTTTTCCTATAAATTAAAATATTAATGCTTAAACCAAAACAATAAAATTAAGAAACATCAACAATTCATTAATCATGAAAAATACTATGACAGGGTAGTATCATATGTCATCAAGGTAAATAAGAATATATAGTTAATCATCCATATTAGTCAACTATTACATTGCCCTAATACATTCACTACAGTTAAAATGAATCTCAATGGTTGTCATTGGCCAGAAGATCTTCTCGCATCTTTAGGTGAAACAGGTCTACGAGCTGCATCACTTGGCTGCAGCAAAAAGTAAAAAAAATATAACTATTAAGAGGAGTATCAGGAAACAAGTCATTGAGATGAAATATTTTTGTGCTTTGAAGAGAACCACAAAAATTACATATATTCACTCATCTGGAGCACTAACACACTAGCTATATAGTAACATAGCAAAATGTACAAAAGGGTAACTGTATTAAAGCATAAAAATGGAGTGAATTTTTTTTGTTAAAACTAAATAACATATCATACCTTGATCTCCATAGACAGAACTAACTAACTGCAGGAAGGAAAAAATGCTGGACATGAATGTGATCAAGTGGCTGCAAATTCCAGTAGCAATGATGATTCTGCTGGGAGTGTTAATGGATCTATAGCTAAATTGAATGCACAAAATTTGGGTAGTAATGAGGAAAAAAATATGGAGGAATATTGGATTACAATTGCTGGTAAAAATACAGCTGCAAAACAAAGTGCTGCTGGTCGCGATCATGGTGATCAAACTGATGGTAGTGCAAAACATTTGTGTAGCCTGAACTCTTATGAGGTTTTGATGGATAATGATCTAGTTGAGGGTATGGATATGCAGATTATGAAGATTGAGGGAGGATCACTCAAGCCTACCATTGTTAACCTCACGACAGTATAAGCTAAAATACTGGAGAATTTGAATCCTCTCAATGCACTCACTAATAAGGTGGAGACTACTGCTGGAGTTGCTAAGCATCCTGCTGCATTAGTTGATCTAGTTGAAAAATCAACAACTATTGTAGCTACTGCTGTGCAAGATGTAGGTGGGGAAATAAGAGCTGGACAAGTGCTATCTCGAGGAAAATCTGGTGCAATTACAACTGAAGCAACTGATGTGTTAAAAACAACTGGACATGAAAGTGTTCAAATTGCTGCAAATTCCAGTAACAGTTCTGCTGGGAATTTTGATGCATCAGTATCTAGATTGAATGCCTATAAATTAGGCAACAATGAGGAGAAGAATATGGAGGAAGGATGGACCACAGTAGCGTGCAAAAAGACTGTTGCAACAGAACTATTATTTACCATACGTGCATGCATAAAAATGCATATAAATTTTCGAAATTATTCTCAACTATTAAAAAAATACTTCAATTAACAATGAAGAAAGGAATAATCTGGTACAAATGTATGAAATTAGGGTGCAAATGTAGGAAAAATCTGGTACAAAATCAAAGTGCGCCAGATGCTAGAATACTTCAATTAGCAAAGCATCTAACACAAGAAGTAGTAATTGGGGAAATGTATGAAAATATTCATTATACTAATAGGGCAATTTTTTTTCTTTTGTTGATATATAAGAATTGCCCTTCAACTTCACGATTAAACTATTCACAACAACAAAATTGCTAGGTTTCATCAAATGGGTAAAATGGTAAGCGAGAGGATTTGGGGTTATTACATAACTTGTTCCTTATAGGATATAAAATCCCAATACAATTGTATCAAGTGACGACTAAAATTAGCCAAAGAAATGGGACATGAAGAATTAGAAGTGAAAACGGATTGCCTACTTGCTGTCAAACTTTGATGGGTAACTACTTACTTGAAGCCAACAAAGAGAATATCACACACATCAAATGCTGAATCCAAAAGAATCTAACATAAATTAACAATGAATCCAAAGCTAAAATACTCGTAGAGAGCGAATTTCAATTCAAAGAGCTTCAATCAAGAGTTCCTGCGGAGAGAGAGAAATTGAGAATGAAGTATCACTGAAAGACGGAAGTTTCTAGAGTGAAAAGATTTGGGGGGGAGCGGGGGAGGAAGGGAGGGTGAAACCCCCGTAAATTGTATAATTTTGTGGGGGCTAATATATTGCCCCAAAATTATGCAAATTACGGAGGTTACTTATACCCTCCGCAAATAAACTTTCGCAATTTACCCGTTTTTTTGAAGTGGCATTCGGATTCGGATTCGGATTCGGATTCAGATTCAGATTCGGTCAATTGATATGATTGATTGATAATTTTTTGGACCAAATTTATTTTTCGTTTTTCGTTATTTATTTTTTTTCCCCTGATATTTTCGTGCGAATTTTAATTCATTTTTGAATTCGCAATCAAACTTAGGTACTTTCACACTTATTCAACCCAGACTGTTTGGCTATAAATTCAAAGATTTGGTCTCACTTTCTGACCACCGAAAATTTGCATACTCCTCCCCTCTCTTCTGCATTTCTGCATTTGTTTTCTAAAAGCAAAAACGTAAGCATCAATGTGGTTTACTGCCGTTTGTTGAGTTCGACAAAGTTCTGTAATTTTCATTACCGGTATTACAAAATAGTTGTTCTGTTCTATCCATGGAGGAATTAATCCAACAACCTTGGGCAATAGTGAGAGGATTAAATTCCTTAACGAAACACAGTTTTCCTTAAGGGACAACTACTTCCTTTGGACCAGACTTTCTCACATTTTTGTTAGAAAATGAGCCTCAAACGTTTAAAGAAGTAATGTCTTCCTCGGAAGCACAATATTGGAAAGAGGCAGTCAATAGTGAGATAAAATTCATATTAAATAATCATACTTGGGAATTGGTTGATCTTCCTCCAGGAAATAAACCTTTGGGTTCTAAGTGGATTTTCAAAAGTAAAATGAAAGTTGATGGTACTATTGACAAATATAAGGCAAGATTAGTTGTCAAAGGGTTTAGACAACGAGAAGGTCTTGATTATTTTGATACATACTCATCGGTAACGAGGATTACAACTATTCGGGTGTTAATAGCGTTAGCCGCCGTGTATGGTCTTGAAATCTATCAGATGGATGTGAAAACAACCTTCTTAAATGGAGACTTAGAGGAAGAAAATTATATGGAACAACCTGAAGGGTTCATGGTTCCCTAAAAATAAAAGAAAGTGTGCCGACTTGTTAAGTCACTTTACAGATTGAAACAAGCACCCAAACAATGGCATGCGAAATTTGACCAAACAATGTTGGCAAATGGATTTAAGATTAATGAGTGTGATAAATGTGTTTATATTAAAAACACTCCAAATCATATAGTCATTTTATGTTTAAAAGTTGATAACATGTTAATAATGAGCAAAGACATTGCAGATATAAATACTATTAAGCGTATGCTTGCTAGAAAGTTTGATATGAAAGACTTAGGAGTTGCTGATTTAATTCGAGGAATTAAAATTCATAGAACTCCTCAAGGACTGACATTGTCTCAATCTCATTACGTTAAAATGATACTTGAAAAATTCAAGTATCTAGATTTCAAAGTCGCAAAGAACCCGATTGATGTAAATATGACTCTTACAAAGAATCTAGGTCAAAGCAGATCTCAACTGGAGTATGCTCATGTGTTGGGAAGTTTAATATACATCATGAATTGTACACGTCCTGATATAGCTTGTGTAGTAAGTAAACTGAGTCGATACACAAGTAATCCCGACCAAACTCATTGGATGTCAATGAAACAAGTTTTGGGGTATCTAAGGCATACCCAAGATTATGCTTTGCATCACAGTAAGTATACTACGGTAATTGAAGGATATAGTGATGCAAATTGGATCACTGGTCATCAGAAATAAAGTCCACAAGTGGATATGTTTTTACAATTGGCGGAGGAGCAGTTTCTTGGAAATCATCCAAACAAACATGCATTGCTCGCTCTGCAATGGAGTCTGAGTTTATAACTTTAGATAAGGCTGGAGAAGAAGTTGAATGGCTCCGGAATTTCTTGGAAGATATTTCGTTTTGGCCCAAACGAGTGGCTCCTATATGCATACATTGCGATAGTCAAGCGGCAATAGGAATGGCTGAAAGCGTTATGTATAACGAAAATCTCGTCACATACGACGAAGATATAAAATCAAAAGATAATGTGTCAGATCCACTTTAAAAAGGCCTAAATAGATAGGCGGATGATAAATCATCTAAGGGAATGGGACTATGGCCGAGGACAAGTCACTGTGGCGGTAACTCTACCTAGAAGACTGGAGATCCCAAGATCTAGGTTCAAGGAGATCAAATAAAGTCATTAGTGACGGTTTAACATTATCAAAGTTTTGGTCTATTCTCGTGATGAGACAATGTTCAGTAGCAAGGATAAAGCGTTAAAACTTTTTAATGGTTTCTAAGTTTGATACAGAGTATATCAAATAGTGTATCTATGGGATAACACATTTAGGAATCACTTATATAAGTGTGAAGTGTAAGCTGCTTCAAGGAGAATTCTGTAAGGCCAGTTCTCTACGCACTTATGAACCAAGCGGTGTTCATGGCTGAAACGAACACAACAATGAGAACCAAATGCGGTTAAAGGGTTAATTGTGTGACTTATGGCTGTCTAGGTATACACCAAAGCTCGATGGTTCAAAGATATCAAATCTACCGATTGACCGAGTATATCCAACATAAGTTCACTATGAAAAGTTCAAAGGGAAACCTACTTATCCAGATGCAATTAATCCTTGCTTGTAAATCACATAATTTTTTCATGCATGCATATTTTCAGATAGCCATTCCCCATTCATGTGGGGGATTGTTGGATTTTTTATTAGATAAAAAGGTGTGAATGGAAAATGGAGGGAAAATATTAGGAGTAAAATGAAAAGTTTGAAATAGTTTCCTTTATTAATGCACTTTGTCCCTCATCGGAAGAAGGAAAGAAAATTATGCTTATATAGAGAAGCACATCTTCTAGCTCTTAAAGAGTTAAGAAGAACTGGTGCCTCGTGCCGTCGTCGTCGTCGCTCGCTCGGCTAGGCTTCGGCTTCGGTCAATTGATATGATTGATTGATAATTTTTTGGACAAAATTTATTTCCCATTTTCCGTTATTTATTTTTCTTTTTCCTGATATTTTCGCGTGGATTTTATTTTGCGGATAATTTCCTAACGACTCATTTTTGAATTCGCGATCAAACAGAAAAGTTTTTTTGCCGAAACAGTACCTCATGTGAACATGTACTTTCGCACATATTCAACCCAGACTATTTGGCTATAAATTCAAAGGTTTGGTCTCACTTTTTGACCACCGAAAATTTGCATACTCTCTCATCTCTCTTCTCCATTTTTGCATTTGTTTTCCAAAAGCAAAAACGTAAGCATTAGTGTGATTTATTGCCGTTTGTTGAGTTCGACAAAGTTCTGTAATTTTCATTGCCGGTATTATAGAATAGTTGTTCCGTTCTATCCTAGGAGGAATTAATCCAACAACCTCGGGCAATAGTGAGGGGATTAAATTTTTTAAGGAAACACAGTTTTCTGTTGGGCTCGGAACGTTATTCATTTCATTCTATTTCTATCTTTGTTTTTTGGTTTCATTTTATTTTGCAGAAATTATACTTTCGAATACAGTTTATAACAAGCTTAAGGAATTTACTATTTTTTTATATTCTGTGTTCATCTAATTTTCTGCTGTGGGAGACTAAAATCCTAGCGATTTTCTACTCCCGTTTTGGAGATCTCAATCCGAGATTAAAATCTTGTGATTTTCTAGTCGGTTGTTTGTATTCGATTTGAAGATATAAAAACTTCACCGACTTACTAATTCTGGTTGTGTCAATTTCTTTTACAAAAAAAATGATAACAAGTACGGAATAACATAATGGTTATGTTGGGACTACTGCTGCAATGGCTACTGTATTTTCAAGTCGCACAACTCTTGCACCGGCGATGGCACCGGCAGAAAAACCCGAAAAGTTTTTCGGTGTGGACTTTAAGCGTTGGCAGTAAAAAATATTCTTCTACCTAACCACACTTAGTTTATAGCGCTTTATCAGCGAGGACGTTCCAGTTCTGGGAGAAGAAACTCCTGAAAATGAGTGATTCGTGGTCACAGAGGCATGGAAGCATTCTGACTTCTTATGCAAAAACAATATTTTAAGTTGCTTGAAAGATGACTTGTACAATGCTTATAACGTCATGAAAACATCAAGAGAATTATGGAATGCTCTTGAAAAGAAGTACAAGATTGAAGATACTGGACTTAATAAGTTTGTAGCTGCCAAATTTCTGGATTTCAAAATAGTTGACGACAAACCTGTTATAACGGAAGTCCAAGAATTGCAAGTTATTGTTCATGACCTCCTTGCTGAAGGTATAAACAGAGTCAATATTCTTATTCAAGATATTGATTATTTTACTAATTATAAATTTATAATTGAAGGTATGGTCATAAACAAAGCATTTCAAGTTGCGACATTTATTGAAAAACTACCTCCGTTGTGGAAGGACTTTAAGAATTACTTGAAACATAAGCGCAATGAGATGACGCTTGAAGACCTTATTGTTCGTCTACGGATTGAAGAGGACAACAAGGCTGCTGGGAAGAAGTACCGTGTTAAATCAACAATAATGGAAGCAAATATTATCGAGGAAGTGTCTACAAGTAATAAAAAGAGAAAGAAGTCGTCTGGTCCAAAGAATTACCCGAGCAAGAAGAAGTTCAAAGGTAATTTCCACAACTGTGAAAATGTTGGACATAAGGCTGTGGATGTCGTACACCGAAGAAGGACAAGAAGAAGAGTCAAGCAAACATGGTTGAAAAGAATGATGACATGGAGGACTTATGTGCCATGCTATCTGAATGCGGCTTGGTATGAAATCCCAAGGAGTGGTGGATTGATTCTAGAGCCACTCGCCATGTTTGTGCTAACAAGGAGTTATTTGCATGTTATGTTCCCGCAGGGCCCGACGAGACTATTTTTATGGGAAACTTTGCAACAGCAAAAATTGAAGGAGTTGGGAAGATAACTTTGAAGATGACTTCGGGAAAAATTGTGACTCTAAACAATGTTCTTCATGTTCCTGGAATTCACAAGAATTTGGTCTCTGTTGGACTTCTTATTAAGAATGGATATAAGTGTGTTTTTGTTTATGAAAAAAATATAATAAGTAAGAATGATGTGTATGTAGGAAAATGTTACCTAACTGAGGGCCTTTTCAAGTTGAATGTAATAGCTATTGATATCAATAAAGTTCAAGCTTCTTCTTACTTATTTGAGTCAAATAATTTATGGCATGCATGTTTAGGTCACGTCAACTTCAAAACTATACGAAAAATGATTAACTTGGAAGTATTGCCTAAATTTGAATGCAATAATTTGAAATGTCAAATACGTGTGGAATCTAAGTATGTTAAACATCCTTATAAGTTGGTTGAAAGGAATTCAAATCCTTTAGACTTAATTCACACAGATATTTGTGACATGAAGTCAATACCATCTCGCGGTGGGAAAAAGTATTTCATAACTTTTATTGACGATTGTACTAGATATTGTTATATTTACGTACTTAATAGTAAAGATGAAGCAATTGAGGCATTCAAGCAATACAAAAATGAAGTTGAAACGCAACTAAACAAAAAGATCAAAATGATAAGAAGTGATAGGTATGGTGAATATGAATCTCCTTTAGAAGAAATATGTTTGGAATATGGCATTATTCACCAAACAACTGCCCCTTACTCACCACAATCTAATAAAATTGCGGAAAGAAAGAATAGAACGTTAAAGGAGATGATGAATGCCTTGTTGATAAGTTCGGGTTTACCCCAGAACTTGTGGGGGGAGGCTATTCTTATAGCGAATCAAATACTCAATCGAGTTCCCATAACAAAACGCAATCTATTCCATATGAAAAATGGAAAGGTAGGAAACCCAACTTAAAATATTTTAAAGTGTGGGTGTGTTTGGCTAAAGTGCAAATTCCTAAACCCAAAAGGGTGAAGATTGGACCAAAAATGGTTGATTGCGTTTTCATAGGATATGCAAGAAATAGTAAGGCATATCGCTTTCTGGTTCATAAATCAGAAAATTCTGACATTCATATTAATACGGTAATCGAATCCGATAATGCTAAATTCTTTGAAAATATTTATCCGTATAAGTATGAATGTGAGTCGTCTATTGAAAAACTAAGTGACCTCGAGAAAAAGAAAAGGAAAGTACGTTTAATGAGGAAAATCTAAGACGTAGTAAACGCCAAAGGACAACTACTTTCTTTGGACCGGACTTTCTGACATTTTTGTTAGAAAATGAGCCTCAAACATTTAAAGAAGCAATGTCTTCCTCGGAAGCACAATATTGGAAAGAGGCATTCAATAGTGAGATAGAATCCATATTAAGTAATCATACTTGGGAATTGATTGATCTTCCTCCAGGAAATAAACCTTTGGGTTCTAAGTGGATTTTCAAAAGGAAAATAAAAACTGATGGTACTATTGACAAATACAAGGCAAGATTAGTTGTCAAAGGGTTTAGACAACGAGAAGGTCTTGATTATTTTGATACATACTCACCGGTAACGAGAATTACATCTATTCAGGTGTTAATAGCGTTAGCCACCGTGTATGGTCTTGAAATCCATCAGATGAATGTGAAGACAACCTTCCTAAATGGAGACTTGGAGAAAGAAATTTATATGGAACAACCTGAAGGGTTCATGATTTTCGGAAAAGAAAAGAAGGTGTGCCGACTTGTTAAGTCACTTTACAGATTGAAACAAGAACCCAAATAATGGCATGCGAAATTTGACCAAACAATGTTGGCAAATGGATTTAAGATTAATGAGTGTGATAAATGTGTTTACATTAAAAACACTCCAAATCATATAGTCATTGTATGTTTAAATGTTGATGACATGTTAATAATGAGCAAAGACATTGCAGATATAAATGCTACTAAGCGTATGCTTGCTAGCAAGTTTGATATGAAAGACTTAGGAGTTGCTGATTTAATTCTAGGAATTAAAATTCAAAGGATCCTCAAGGACTAGCTTTGTCTCAATCTTATTACGTTAAAATGATACTTGGAAAATTCAAGTATATAGATTTGAAAGTCGCAAAGACCCCTGATTGATGTAAATGTGGCTCTTACAAAGAATCTAGGTCAAAGCAGATCTCAACTGGATTGTACTCGTGTGTTGTGAAGTTTAATGTACATCATGAATTGTACACGTCCTGATATAGCTTGTGCAGTAAGTAAACTGAGTTGTTACACATGTAATCCCGACCAAACTCATTGGATGGCAATGAAACGAGTTTTGGGGTATCTAAGGCATACCCAAGATTATGATTTGCATTACAGTAAGTATCCTGCGGTAATTGAAGGATATAGTGATGCAAATTGGATCACTGGGTCATCAGAAACAAAGTCCACAAGTGGATATATTTTTAAAATTGGTGGAGGAGCAGTTTCTTGGAAATCATCCAAACAAACATGCATTGCCCGCTCTACAATGGAGTCTGAGTTTATAGCTTTAGATAAGGCTGGAAAAGAAGCTGAATGGCTCCGGAATTTCTTGAAAGATATTCCGTTTTGGCCCAAACGAGTGGCTCCTATATGCATACATTGCGATAGTCAAGCGGCAATAGGAAGGGCTGAAAGCGTTATGTATAACGAAAAATCTCGTCACATACGACGAAGACATAATACCATTAGACAACCACTTTCTAGAGGAATTATCACAATTGACTACGTAAAGTCAAAAGATAATGTGTCGGATCCACTTGCAAAAAGCCTAAATAGAGAAGCGGTTGATAAATCATCGAAGGGAATGGGACTGTGGCTGATGGCAGGTCACTATGGCGGTAACTCTACCTAGAAGACTGGAGATCCCAAAACCTAGAGTCGTCGCTCGGCTTCGGCTTCGGCTTCAGATTCGGATTCAGATTCAGATTTGAATTCAGATTCGGATTCAGATTTGGATTTGGATTCAGATTTGATCAATTAATTTGATTGATAATTTTTTGGACCAAATTTATTTTCCATTTTCCGTTATTTATTTTTCTTATTTCCTTATATTTTCGCGTGGATTATATTTTTCGGATAATTTCCTAACGACTAACAATCGTTTTTGAATTCGCGATCAAACAAAAAGTTTTTCTGCCGAAACAGTACGTCATGTGAACATGTACTTTCGCACCTATTCAACACAGACTGTTTGGTTATAAATTCAAAGGTTTGGTCTCATTTTCTGACCACCAAAAATTTACATACTCTCCCCTCTTTCTTCTGTATTTCTGCATTTATTTTCCAAAAGCAAAAATGTAAGCATTAGTGTGATTTAGTGCCGTTTGTTGAGTTCGACGATATTTTATAATTTCCATTGTCGGCTTCGGCTTCAGCTTCGGATTCAGACTCGGATTTGGTCAATTGATATGATTGATTGATAAGTTTTTGGACCAAATTTATTTTCCGTTTCCCGTTATTTATTTTTATTTTTCCTGATATTTTCGCGCGGATTTTATTTCGCGGATAAATTTCTAATGACTAACAGTCATTTTTGAATTCGTGATCAAACAAAAAAGTTTTTCTGCCGAAACAGTACCTCATATGAACAGGTACTTTCGCACCTATTCAACCTACACTGTTTGGCTATAAATTCAAATGGTTAGTTTCACTTTCTGACCACCAAAAATTTGCATACTCTCCCCTCTCTCTTCTGCATTTCTGCATTTGTTTTTCAAAAGCAAAAACGTAAGCATCAATATGGTTTACTGCCGTTTGTTGAGTTCGACGAAATTTTGTAATTTCTATTGCCGGCTTCGGCTTCGGATTCAGATTTAGATTCGAATTTGGTCAATTGATATGATTGATTGATAATTTTTTGGACCAAATTTATTTTCCGTTATTTATTGTTCTTTTTCCTGATATTTTCGCGCGAATTTTATTTCGCGTTTCCGTTATTTATTATTCTTTTTCCTGATATTTTCGCGCGAATTTTATTTCGCGGATAATTTTCTAATGACTAACAGTCGTTTTTGAATTCGCGATCAAATAGAAAAGTTTTTCTGCCGAAACAGTACCTCATGTGAACAGGTACTTTCGCACCTATTCAATCCAGACTGTTTGACTATAAATTCAAAGGTTTGGTCTCACTTTCTGATCACCAAAAATTTGCATACTCCCCCTTCTCTCTTCTGCATTTCTGCATTTGTTTTTCAAAAGCAAAAACGTAAGCATTGGTGTGGTTTACTGCCGTTTGTTGAGCTCAACGAAATTTTATAATTTTCATTGTCGGTATTATAGAATAGTTATTCCGTTCTATCCTGGGAGGAATTAATCCAACAACATTGGACAATAGTGAGAGGATTAAATTCTTTAAGAAAATATAATTTTCTGTTGGGCTCGGAACGTTAATCATTTCATTCTATTTCTGTTTTTGGTTTCTAGTTTCACTTTATTTTGCAGAAATTATACTTTCGAATACAGTTTATAACATGAACAACATAAATGATGCAATGTTGAATATAAAATCTGCCTCTCACATGTTATTCTTATGCATGATGTTACTGAAATCTGCGCATCTTACCTTTTAACATTTCAGTTTGTTGTTTAATTCAATATACTTATTTGAATCCGGTGAATTTTAACATGATTGCTTATTCTAGGAAGGGAAAAGGGCCAAATATATCCCTCTGCTTTCATATATTGTCTATATTTAACCTCCGTTATATTATCGGGACAAATTTATCCCTATCGTTATACTATCGGGCCAAATTTACCCCTACAATTAACAAGCTTTTAAAAATACCCCTTGATCTGTTAAGTAATCCAAAATCTCCCAAATTCCTTTTATTTAAATCACTTGTTATTCTTCTTGGTCCACTATTTTTGAAATAATTGGTATTTACATGCTTTCTGAATTAGAGAAAAAAATATTAAATAATACAACCGAATAACAAAGTATAGTAAATTGAAAAAAACTAGATTAGGTAGCTTTTCTAAATTCTAAAAGTATTTACAACATCCCAATTTTAATGAATTCGTTGCACCAAATGTATGGAGACGTTGCAAGTATTAGTGATTGACGTTGAAGTTTCTCGGAGATTTTACATTGTCTAATTCAACTTTGCTTTAATTAAATGCCTACACATTGTGCACTTTTAAGTTAGTCGATCGAACTCTATACTAACCAGGCAATGACAAAATATTTTTGAATATACATGTACATACATGATGATCAGCTGCATATAATACACAATAAATAGACACACTAAATTCTACGGTGTGTATATGATTGAAAAATAAATAAAATTCTAAACCAATTTTATTCATTACAAGAAGAGAAATGGGTGCATTGGTAATTAAAAAAAGTATGAATAATTTGTATAGTCTAGTACCTTTAGCATTCACATCAATAGTAATTTTTGAAAATAATGGAGCAAGAAAAACAACAAGTGATTAAAATAAAAAGAATTTGGGAGATTTTGGATTACTTAACAAATCAAGGAGTATTTTTAAAAATTTGCTGATTGTAGGGATAAATTTGGCCCGATAGTATAACGGTAATGATAAATTTGGCCCAATAATATAACAGAAGTTAAATATAGACAATATATGAAAGTAGATGAGTATATTTGGCTATTTTCCCTTCTAGGAAACATGAAACTTATTACTGATCGGTGAGTATGGAGGAACATTGAAAATTAAGTAGACTTACTAGGGCTTGAGACGAAGGTTGGCTACCGTTGCAAAACTACTTTGTTGTACACTTGTCTGTTACAGTATATCTTGAATTCTTGTTTAATATGGCATGCGGCAAAATGCAGGGAGCCCCCCATTTTCATGGGCCTCTCCTCAATTATCTTCAACAAAATATTACTAGTTGGGATGACTACTTTTTGTCTCAATTATTAGTATTTAACAAATCATAATTTATTTTTCTGTTTTACCCATTATCATTAATTACTCATTCTCCAAAATAATTTCTCAAAACTTTTTGAAATAGTATCATTATTATGGGTAAAAGTATAAAATATATTCTTCATTTACTTTTTTTAAAGGAGAATGAAAAGTCAAAAGTGAACAACTAAAAAGGAGTACTAAATTAGTCATTTTTAATACGAAAATAAAATTTGGACAAAAATATTACTCGCTAAAACATGTAAAAACTCGAGGAACAGCTACTTGGCATGAATTATTCCTGAAGTTTGATATGTGAAGTTAATTCCAAGAAAATTTAATGGAGCTTATCAAGCTCTAGGACCTGAAGTTGGAGAAACCATAACAAACTCATGTTTTAATTTTCCTCTCATAAAGCAATACCCAGTACAGGTTTCGGCCAGTCAAGAATTCTATTAAAACTGAAATAGAACCCATTTATATAGTTCACACTATCAAAATCATAAATTTCCTTTCTTTTCTACTTTTTCTAAACAGTGAATGAAACCTTAGACAATGTAGTACAAGAGCAAAAAGCAGACAATTTTTCGAGAGTTCCCAACTCCAACATACAATGATGGGTTAACTAGTTTGAACTTATAAATTTTCAAAGTCATTTTTGGAGTTTTTCGTGTTTTGAGCTGATGTCCAAATAATTTTTCGAGCACGTTTGGAACCAGAATAACGCCAAATTGAACTTAAAGAGCAAAAATAATTAATGTGCAAAAAATATTTTTACTACATATAGCATGGTATCCATGCCCCCCACAGCCTAACGGCCGTTAGCTCCCNAGCCCAGTGGTGGATCCGAAAAATTATATATATAAGACAAAATATATTTTTTATCTATATATATTAAATTTTGAATCTCCTTGACACTGTCCAAAAATGTAGCTTAGTGGTCAAGGGGGTTCAAAACCTTTGTAATGTCGTAGGTTCAACTCCCACTAGTTGTAATCTTTTTCAATTTTTTTTCTTTTTGAACCTCCTTCGCGGAGATCCAACCTTCGCCACTGCTAACAGCCAGCCGTTAGGCTGGGCCATTAGCCCAAAGTAATATACAGTACTAGAAATCTGCCAAAATCCATCCAACCCATTCCGACCGAAATCGGTCGGAAAATAACTAGATCGGGCGCAAAAGTCAAATAAAATTTTTTTACTAAAAAATACCGACCACTTTCGATCGAAAAAAGTGGTCCCACAATAAAAAAATAGTGCTTTATCTGATACATAAATATTTCGACCGATTTCGGTTGGAAATTGGTCAATATTTGACCAAGTCATGGTTAGACTTGCATATTATCTACCAAAAAAATAGTTTAATTAAAAAAATTCAAGTATACCGACCGAAATCAGTTGGAAATGTTGATTTAATTTTTTCCGCCCAGGCTCAATTATTTTTTTTCCATTACCAAAATAAGTTTTTAAAATTATTATAAATATACCGTCCGATTTCGCTCGGTATTAGTGGTCAAAAATAGTCAACCACTTATAAATTATTGTTATTTATAATA